GGACTTCTTGGTTCTTTCTTCGTTGAGGGATTAGAATCCGCCGTCACCAGTGAGAATTTTCTTGTTCTGACGACGTTGACGAATCCTACTGACTGCGCCAAATGTTAAATCACTACTTTTTCAAACGACTTTTTAAAAAAAGATTTATTTTTTATTATTACAAATACATGAGTTTGTTTTAAATCTAATTAACAACTAACTACTTTTCTATTTTACTCCTATTTATAGTCTCTGTCTATTTTGCATTGTAAGTGTTTTCTTTGTTCACTAGAACTTGCTGACACACGCGACCGTCCTTAATTGTGTTTCGTAACCTGATACGCGTGTGCAATGTTAATTGAGATGAAGGTCACTATTTTCACATATAACATATATATCTCTTTTAAATATGACCGTAATTAAATACGATTAGTATGTTTACCTGGAGTTAAATTGTTAATAAACCTAAATCCTTTAATTGCATTTAACCGGTTTTTAGTGGGAAGAACAACCAATAATGGTATTTTAATAACAATTATCTTCTAAATGCCTAAACACAATAAATGAATGTTTTCTTAGAAAAATAAAGATCTTTATTGATTCTTTTTACCTAAATAGGATTAAAAATTCCAATACGTTGTTAAAGTCCATTATTAGGATTATGAGACAGTTTACAATATATTTTAAATAGTAGATACGCATCATTGCCTCCTTCCTTAAAATAAACATCTACTGGGTTTTCTATTTAAGTTATATAAATTGTGTTCTTTTTAAAAAACCAAACTTTTGGAACCTAGGATTTTTACGTTACGCTTAAATTAAAACTTAAATCATTATTATTTTGTAATACACTGCTTGAATTTCAATTTCGGTTGTATGTATATTTTTAGAGATATTCGTACAGAGTACAGGTTTTCCGTATTTTTATATCTCATTTTCATTAATTAAATAGCGTTTTTATGTATGGACATGGGCATGGAATATCTCGAAAAATATTCACATTAAAGAAGTGAGACAATAATCCTTTGTGTACCTAAAAACATTGCTAAGTTCAAAAATACAACTAAAATTCAAATTTAAGTATTGTCGTAGAGTTGTTTTAATTAAATTTTTTATTTTACGCCCGGTAATACAAAAATGGAGGATCTTCGGATATGTTTATAAAGCAAGTTCTACTTATTTTTTAAAGTTCTATCAACTATATCATTTATGCAAGGTTTTTTTTGAAACTTCTTGTATATGCACCTGTATAAAAGGCAACAATTCACTAAACCAGACAATCACATTGTTACGTTAATTTTGGCCAGGAGTATAAGTATATGAACGCATTGTTAAATTGTAGCCCATGATCAGGGGTACATGCAGGAGAATATTTTGGAATTTGAAGTCTCATTTAAATATTCGAAATATTAATATTACAATATTTCAATTTTTTTGCCCACGTCTCCGAGAATCGTATTACAGTTAATATAAACTATCTAATTGTATGTATCATGTTACAATTATTTTGTCGCAGCTACGAACACAATATTCCTTCATTATCCAGTTACTAAAATAAGCAGCATTCGTTCTACTGCTATTAGAACAACCAACAAAAACGCACTTATGAGTTGCCGTAACGTTCATTGTCACAAATTATGAAAATCAAAACTAACAAAATCTTGTAAATAACCGCCAAAATCGATCGCCCAGAGCTCTACACTGAATGATGATAAGCAGTCGACTGAGAATCTGAGTCCCAAGTGACTGTATTCGCCATCTATTTGTCAGAACCATTGCAAGGTACGGTCGGTGCATAAGCGTTGCTTCTCTTGTTATATTCGTTTACTCAATGCCAAAACATATTTTGTTATTAGAGTCAGATTAATACTTACGTGATATAAGTACGGGTTTGTAACGGATAGTACTATTCGGGGACCTCTTTTTACATATACTCACTATTATAATATATATAATTACCGATATATCGGCGTGATAATTTCATATTTTTCCCCATATTTTTTTTATTGACATAATTTTTTATTTCATCTAACCTCAAAAATTAAATAGCTGTCAGACACGAATGCGTTTTATTAAGTTCTGACTAAGGACCCGACCCTACTCTCCGGAAATCAAAAAAAATTAACGAGCTAGCAGAAATTACGCTTGGCCCCTTTCATAAGTAAGGGCAGAGCGTAACAAAGCATCGTATAATCAATACGCCCAGTAGTCACTCCTTTTTAAAAATATATTGAGATATAAATAATATATTAATTTTTTTTGGAGCATCTTCAAAATATCCTATTAATATTATCATGTAAAACCTAATGCTTGTCGTAATTAAAAAATACACCAGTCCTTTACATTGGCCTGACATATAGTGCTAAAGTTAAGCCTCAATCCTCTTCAATTTCTAAATTCCGTTATTTTTAAAACAAAGATGCATTTTAATAAAATATTTTTGTGCCAATACTATTTCTATTCCTACGAAAAAAATAAGATATCGGGATTTATAATATGTATCGGCATCACTGCAATATATCCGTCGTGTCCAAAAAATGCGTTCATCTGCGAGGCAGTAGCAGAAGCTTCAATACAAATTAGGGAAAATAGTTTTGAGAACGTTTTTAGTTTATCGCTGTTATGACGGGTTCGAATATAAGATATGTAACGGTCCCCGATCGACGAGGAGGTCGTATTAAACTGCCGCCTTAATATTAAACTTTGACATAAATTAGCACAACGATTAACTAAATGGATAGGAGTTGGAACATGCTATAAAATAACAAACAGGTATATAATACAAAAAGGAGTTATTCTAATAATTCTATATTTTCATCAAGTATGTGCCTAAATAATCATCAAGAATCATACTATAATGTATAAAATATCAAATATAATCACATTAATTTTAAAAATTAGAAACAGTATATTGCATCTAGCAAATCTATAACAATTGCTGACATTGAACTATTATTTCCGGATTCAATTACATATCTACTTATCTTTATAGGTGTAGGATGTAAGAAAACTGCAACTCAAAATTTAAAAGGACAAGAAACTCAAACGTCTCCAAATCTATCTTGCTCAACTCCAAGGAAAAGAAAGCTTCATCGAGAAGTTTTAAACTTGAAAAAAAAAAGTGTCTTCGTCTGTCTGAGAGTCCGCAAAGAAATGTAGAAGACAGCAACACAAATTCCGAAGAAGGCTTCATCAAATTTTGTCAGGAAAAGTTCAGTGAACCCTTACAAAATTTTATAATTACCCAGCTAACTCTGTCAAAAAGAGAACCTCATGGGTACAGGTATTCGCTCCGTGCGCGACAGCAGCGCCAATTCGTTTTGATACTATTGGACTATTTCTGCGTATACTGACAAATGCAACTTTTAATATAATTTGTAATTAAAAAGTATATATGTTAGTTTTAATAAAAGTATATGGATTTGTAAAACAAGTAAAACATTAATTTATTATTATTATATATTTTTATAGCTTAAATTAAAGAAAATTATGTATAATCGATAAAAATCAATAATAAAATATAGGCAGGCAACAGTATTTACTGGAAAATGTATGAGGAGTTGCCTAAGTCTAATACGTTTCCATTGAAGAATTAGCCTATTCTATCAAAATAAAAAAATACCATTTAATAATAGCGTGAAGTTAAAATGTATAAAAAAAGGATCGTTACTTATATTTTCATTTTTGTTCGAAAGAAAACATAGAATAAATGATTAAAACTGATTTCCCATCGGTAAGTTACAAAATTGCGTTCCAAACACATATAATACTTAAAGGCAGAAATCATGAAATCTAGTCCTTGTTGAATGAACATTTAAGAATAAAGGGATATTAAAGAACATCGTAAAATGATAATTTATTGTTTATTGAAGCATACAAGCAATTTGCTTTAACAATTTATTTTTTGGGACCTAAAGTGTACAGATTTTTAAAAGATACGTTTCATCTTCCTCATAAAGCTACGCTCTGTCGAATGACATCTAATTTGGACTTTTGCACTGGTTTTAATGCATTCTTGTTCAATTTTATAAATATTAAAGTGAAAAACTGTACTGATCGAGCAAAAGATTGTATTATATGCGTAGACGAGATGTCTCTAAAAACACATCTATATTATAACCTATCCAAAGACTCCATTGTTGGTTTTCACCAAGCCAATGGTATTCGTAGTTATGAGCCTGCCAACTGTGCATTAGCAATCATGGCCAGAGGTATTCAATCGAATTGGAAGCAGCCAGTTGCCTATTTTTTTATTCATAATACGTGTAAGATTGAATACCTTAATGAGATTGTTCATACTTGCATAAAAAAGTTAACTTTTGTAGGCCTTAATGTATTGGGTATCGTGACTGATCAGGGATCCAATTTTTTGTCATTCGCAAAAGATAATGATGTAACAAAACAACGACCCTTCTTTTTTTGTCGATAGTGTAAAAATATTTTACTTTTTCGATACAGCTCATTTATTAAAGTCGACTAGAAATATGCTTTTCAAACATAATTTTAAAATTAATAATGAGGTAATTGAGAAAAAATATATTGAAATGATGTATAATTATGACAAATCAAAATTTAATCGTTTAATACCAAAGGTCAGCGAAACACATATACATCCCACTTGCTTTCAAGTAATGTCAGTTTCTTTGGCAGCACAAATATTGAGTAACCACGTAGCAGTTGGACTTGGGCTCTTAATTACCTTTGGTTATTTGCCCTCAAATGCAATTTATACTGCAACTTTTGTGAGCTAAAAAACCAGAGCCTTCACAAAACAACAAAAAATCAAATATACCTCCAATAGTAGTTGATGGACGCACTGACAACCACGGGAGTCTCACAAGCGATCTAAAAGAAATTATTAAGGGTAAATATTCAGTAAAATATACGAACCCACCACAATAATATTCACTGAAGATCAAGATGACTACAGCAACCTACTAGACAGTATAAAAGACGCTAATATTCCTCATCACACATATACTAGCAAAACAGATAAAACTCATGCTTTTGTGCTAAGAGGGATGGCCAACGGAACGGACAAGGAACTCATAGAGGAGGACTTAATAGCCTCCTACGAAATTACCCCTAAGGAAATATATAAAATGAGCACGAAACATAGACCCTTGTACTTAGTAGTGACCGACCCTGCAATTACCCTTGATTACCTTAACAGAAATGTTAGAGTAATTGAAAACACGAGGGTGACCTGGGAAATGAGAAGATCAACGAAGAGCATCATTCAATGCCACAGATGCCAAGCATGGGGACATGCCACCTCAAATTGCGGCCGGCCGCCGAAGTGCCTTAAGTGCGCCGGTGACCACCTAACAAACACGTGCGTAAAAACCCGGGACACCGTGCGTTAATTGCCTAGGGAACCATCCCGCGAATTATACGCAGTGTAAAGCGTACGTTGAACGGGCAAAAAGGATGGAAGAAAGGAAACTAACGCAGATGCCAACAAAGAAATACACCCAAGCGCCACCACCTGCGGTAAACGCATGGCAAAGAAACCAAAACTCAATATCTACACCCATGGAAGACTTTCCAGCACTACCCACCACGAGTAACCAACAACAAGCACGCAGACCACCCACAACCACGAAACAACCCACTGACACCATGGGCGATATCTTCGCACTTAATCAAGAATTTGCAGAGTTAAACTCCTTGGTAAATATAGCAGAACTTACCCGAGACGTCCGAGAACTCAACTCCCAACTCCGCCTCTGTACCAATTCCGCCCAATACCTCATGACCTTCAATTCCTTCATGACAAACCTAGATAAATTCTTCAATATCAAGAACTGAACTAAATCCTACTAACAAAGACAAACTGAGAATTTGTTTTTACAATGTGCGTGGGCTGCTAAACAAGATGGGGCTTGTTAGCAATTTTATTCACAAGCATAAATTTGACATATTAATATTAACGGAGATATTTTTAAAAATCACTGACAAAGTAAAAATAAGAAACTTCATAATTATTAGACAAGACAGAGAACCGGTACGACAACGTAGACAAGGAGTGGGAGGGGTAGCTATTGTAATCAAAAAAGACATCATTTTTAAACAACTAAGAAGGGCGCATGTATCAAATCACTTAGAACATATAATAATTCAGGTAAATAATATAATAATAATAGGTGCATATCACACCCCCAGTAAAAATCTTTTAGGTAGAGATCTGCACATACTGATGTCAAAAGGAAACAGGGTGCTTCTTGCAGGGGACCTTAATGCGAAACATCCGGAATGGGACGCTAATTGTGTGTTCACAAATCCCAGTGGGCTGCTACTGAGAGACTTCGCTGAAGACAACGGCCTATTAGTACACTATACTGAAGAACCGACTTACTTTCCCGACGCTGCAAACTATACCCCAAGTACACTGGACATAGCAGTTGCAAAAAACATACCTGACATACGTAATATGAGAACTATCCCCACACCAAGCTCAGACCACGATCCGGTGTACTTGGAAATATGGACAACACAAAAATACAAAGACAATACAGGCAATACTACGACTATAAATCTACTAACTGGACATTATACAGGACGAAATTAGACAATCTAATCAAAATTAATAACAGTATACAGACTGTCGAGTCTCTAGAAACAGAAACAAATAAACTTATCAACAACATACAAAAAGCTAGAAATGAGACAACCACAATAAAAACACAAAAACAACACAATGACATATTGCCTGTAGAGATCACTGACCTTATAAATAACAAAAATCACATTAGAAGAAGATGGCAAAAGAACGACAAAGTGACGATAGGGTTAGGATGTACGATATAGCAAAAACTATCAACAAAATGATCCGAGAATTCCGTAACAACAAATGGAAAACCACCTTATCGGAGCTAAAACCGAATGACAATACATTGTGGAAAGTGGTGAAGAGGTATAAAAAACCGAACTCACTGCTTCCCACAATGAAACAAGGACCTGACTTACTTAGTACAGACAAAGACAAAGGTCAAGCCTTCGGCGAATACTTTCAGTCAAAATTTATAAATAACCAAGAAAATAACCTGGAACAAACAAGAATCGAACTTATCGCTAACACATTTGAGCAGTCAGAACCACAAATAGTGCCACATTCCTTTTATACCTCCCCTAAAGAGGTGTGTGAAGTTATTAAGGGACTCAAAAACAGAAGAGCTCCGGGACCGGATGGCATCAGTAATATATTACTAAAAAACCTTAGTAGAAAGGCTGTCGTACAGCTCTACCACCTAGTAAATGCCATTTTAAGGCTACAACACTATCCCAGTGGCCTGAAAATGGCAAACATCATTCCAATACTTAAGGCAGGTAAACCAGCCAATAAAATCGATAGTTACCGCCCCATTTCCTTACTTAACACAATATCAAAAATCATAGACACAATTTTACTGATTAGACTAAAGAAAACGGAACAACGTATACAAATTATCCCACGGGAACAATACGGTTTTAGAGAAGGTCATAGCACAGTAGCTCAGGTATTGCGCATTGCTCATCACGCGAAACTGCAGTTCAGTAACGTCCTACAAACAGTAATAGTAACGTTAGACAGCGAAAAGGCCTTTGACACCGTATGGACCCGTGGGTTAATACACAAAATGCTTGTGAATAACTTTCCCGGGCATATTGTAAAAATAATCCAGTCATACCTAACTAATAGACAATTTTGTATAAAAATTAACTCGACAATTACAGGACCATTCCTAGCGATGGCGGGAGTCCCGCAGGGCTCAGTACTTTCGCCGCATCTGTACACGATTATGACCTCCGATTTACCCATGGGTGATAATGGTGTACAGACGGCGTTGTACGCCGATGACATCTGTTTATTTAACAGCAATAGATCCGCGGAAACTGCCACAAGGGAGCTGGACAACCATATAAATGGACCGTTAATGACCTATCTAGTTGACAACAAAATGAAAATAAATTCGAGCAAAACCAAAACTATCTTACTTACTAAGAGGTGGACCCAAGGTATAGCCACGCCCCTCACTATACAAAACCAACCAATAGTGGCTAAATCTACAGTTAAATATTTAGGTTTTCAACTAGATAGGGGATTAACGTTCCATCAACATATTAAGGACAGAGTTAACAAAAACTACGGAATTTTGCGAACCCTATACCCTATTATGAACAGACGTAGCCGCGTAACCCTGGAAAACAAAATCCTCCTTTACAAATCAATTTTCAGACCGATTTTAACATATGGCTCAATGGCACAAACCCACTTTAACAAAATTCAAAGGGAACAAAACAAGTGTCTAAGGCTAGCTCTAGGGTACGACCGTTACGCTAGAATACAAGTTATGCACGGAACAACAAACATACCATACATTAAAGACTTCGTTACAAAGACAGCAGAAAACTTCTATGCGCGATGCCTCCCTGATGAACTCAGGGATAGCATCATGAACGATCATCAGGGGGACAACGTGCATACAAAGCACGGAAGCATACACCAAAATCTGAACATTTACAGAAGACAGTAACAGGACCTTCCACAGCGACAAACAGACCAGAGCCCCAGTCGAGAGCACTTTACACCACGATTGCGGCACTTTCGGAGGGCTTTTCGGCAAATTGTCCTGAGAATTGTGACAAGAAACATAGACTACGAACAGGACCACTTACATACAAAGACAACCCTGTTTTTTACTAGCTTTTTCAGGGGACAATAAAGATAACTAACACAAGACAAATCTACAAACCATTACAATTACTGATTTCAAGACATCCTTAATCCCTTAATTATGCCTCCCTGGTAAGGAGTAAGGGCTGCTATATTTAGCCAAATTCAAAATTAATAAACAACAATGCATACTATAGGTGAAGATATCGCCATTGGCCCAGCGGGTACCTGCAAGGCCGGCACATTTCTGATAGGAAAAGTGTTCTGTTATTTTATGTAATGTTGTATATATTTTAAATATTTAACAAGTCAATAAATGTTTTAAATAAATAATTTGTGAGCCAAATTGATATTTTATTTGATATATTAAATTCTCTTACGTTTGACTCTCCAAAGATACTGAATATACCATTCGTAGGAAGTAATGAGCAATTAGACCATTTAATTAAAATGAGGGAATTATTTAGCAATTTGCAAATTATAAGTAAAGATGGGAAAGATATGACAAAAAAAGTTTAATTTTTAAATGGTTGGCAAATTACTATAACAGCAATGATAATGCTATGGGATAATTTAAAAATAAAAGGTTGCAAATTTATTTGTACAAGGTTTATAAACCAGGATTCTTTGGAGAATATGTTTGGTAATTTGAGGGCTCAAGGAGGAAATTCTCTTAATCCTACCCCGATTCTATTTCAAAGATTGTTTAAAAAAACATTTTGTTTAAATTATTTTAAATACAATAAAGGTGCCAATTGTGCTCAAGATTTTAATGAATTGTTAGTAAAATTTAATCAAACAAATGTACTAGATGTAAATATTTCAGAAACTGATGGGAAAGAGAATATTATTAATGAAATTTTAACAATAAACAAGAAAGATTATTCAGAGGCTGAATTACCTGAAAAAAATGCTTTATCTTGGGTAGCAGGGTATCTCATTAAAAAATGTTTGGGAAAACATCCATGCCCTATTTGCCTGCAGTTCTCAAAAGAACAAATCGAGCTCACCAATGAAACGGTACTTTGCCAAATGAGAGCTTATAGAAGTAGTGACCAAAATATATTTGGAAATTCGATCATGCCACCAGAATCATTTTACGAGTATATTCATAAACTCGATCAAAAATTCTGTGAATTATTTCCCACAATAGCTTTAAATAACGGTGCGAGATATGAGATTAAAAGCAATATAGAAAAAATTATTGCGAGAATTTACCCATCTCATATTTTTTGTTAAATTTATATGTACGATTAAGAATATTTTATACTTTAAAATATGTGAACAAAAATTTAAAAAATCAAAAAAATCAACAAAAAAAAAATAAAAAACTAATAATTCTACAACATTTGTAAACATTTATTTTAGAATTTGTTAATTTTTTTATATGTACGTATGTATGAGATTTTAATAAAAAAAAATTACCGATTACTTTGTTTTATTTTTATATCAATTGATTTGAACTCGACAAACTAAAATTTTTTATGTTTACATATTTGTAAAAAATATAATTGTTCTAGATTTAATGCAAATAAAAATAATTTTTTTTACTACTAACATGAGAAATCACCATTATTTACTCCATTCCTCTAATGAGAAGTAATATTTCTCACCCTAGGTAAATAATGATAATAAAAAAATACCTAGGTAAATAATGAAACTAAATTTCATTAGATTCTTTTTGTTAATTTGACAACTAAACTCCCAGAC